TGAACTTCAAAGGATTACGGCTGTAAACAGATTTGAATAATCCAGTAAGCCTATTTATTAAGTGCATCATTAGCTGCTTTGATCGTAAGCCACTACACTGGACCCGCTGTGAGCCGCTTTAAGTTAAGATAAATACAAACACAAACTGCAGGCAGAAAGGTAAAATGATATCGGCTGAATTTCATTTGCTCAAAGTTCTTTGTTGCAGTCATTTAAACGTCCCATGACATGCTTTTCTGGTTATTACCCGTCCCCTTGTGTGTTATGTAGATTTTTCTGCATGTAAACAGTCTGCAAAGTCACAAACCCTCAAAGTACACCCTGTAGTGAGTAAAACTCTAACACAGAAAAGACGTGTCTATGCTGCCCCAGAACGCCTCGTTGGAGATCTTTCTTTTTCATTTGTTTTCTTCCTGGTCATAGTGACGTAACGGCTCCTCACACACACTCTCACTCCGCCTTATCTTTTCTCAGCCGCGGCTCCGCGGATCTCAGCCTGGCTGTGAGTGTGTGTGTGTGTGTGTGTGTGTGTGTGCTCAGGCTGAGTTCAGGCTGAGTTCCGCGGTGTCTCGCTGTCTCGCAGACCCCACGCAGCAACCAGGAAACAACACCAGTAAGCCAGCTCGCACTGTCCGCTCCTCAAGCCTCAAAGGGCGCAGCAGCGAGCCGCGCAACGTCCCGCCAACACGGCACCCAGACCCCACGCAGCATTCTCATCTGTTTGTCATTACTGGTGTCATTTTCTGGTTGCTAACAAATGCCATGGTAACACATAATCACTGATGTTCCGCTGTAACGGTGGTGGACTCATCAGAACAGAGTCGGCGAGCTGACCAATCAGAGCGCAGTGGGCTCATAGGGAGGGGGGGGGGCAGGAGCTCCAACAAGGCGTGTAGGACAGAGAGTGAATACACATACTTTATAGAGATGCTGTATGAGAAACCAATGTGAGTTTGGAAAATTGAACAATGTAAATCTATTCTGGTAGACCTCAACAATGGAATTATGATCAGTAGAAATGGCCATGACATGGGACCTTTACATCTTTGAATATTTCTAAACAAAGACTTATGTGGCTCTCTCTCTCTCTCTCTCTCTCTCTCTCTCCTCTCTCTCTCTCTCTCTCTCTCTCTCTCTCTATCTCCTCTCTCTCTCTCTCTCTCTCTCTCTCTCTCTCTCTCTCTCTCTCTCTCTCTCTCTCTCTCTCTCTCCCTCTCTTCACACCTGCTTTTCCCAGATGTTAAGTCACTGAGTTCTCTGACGCATTGGTGAGTCAGCGGAGATGAATCAGTGTCACACTATTCTTAGTGTTTTCCTCAGAGACTCAATGTATTTGTCAGTGTAAACACTTTTGGGGAATCTCTTAAGCCTCATGAGTGCCAGAAATCCCATTATCAGATATCTTTTTTAACTTTTAAAAAGATGTATGGCTCTTGCAAATAATTTTGTTGGCAAGTGGGTTTTTTGGAGTGTATGCTTTTATAGGTTTTAAAATAAGAAGTTAACATGCTGCAATGAATGTCCCTTCTATTTTTAGCAGTGCCTATTTTTCAAAGGTTCATTATCTATAACATCCATCCTTTTATTACAATTTGAAAGGCACATTTGTTCAGAAATTATAAGAAATAAATGGAATCTTAAACACTGCAGCTGTCTGAATGAAGTTCCCCAGACTAGCTGGAGAGAGCGTCCTTTGTGGTTTCGAAAAGTAATTCTAAATATTCTTTAATAACATTTTAATTACAGCTTACCACATCATTTGATTGGATCAAAGCTAATCCAATATCTTTGAGTCTTCCAAGGAAGAACCTGTCCTCCGTGTCCTCTAAGATGTCTCCAAGGGGCAAATGGCGTGGCACCAATCAGAATAACTCTTAGAACAAAGCACCAATGACTGCTGGCATACACCGCTCTTTAAACACTGAGACAGAGATTGAGGTTTTCTCACGGATGTGTTCTCTGCTGCTGCCGGTGCCATGGGGTGGTGTGCCTGGACAAAATGCCAGCCATGCAGAATGGTAATGTGTTGTCACGGAGTCGATCTCTGCTGCTGAGTAAGCTGTCGAGCAGGAAGAGAACATCAGATCCTAAATCAAAAATGAGAAATCAGTAATTTTGTTAATACAGATTTGTCTCCGTTTTAAAACACTATCACGGCAGTTTTTGAGCAGAAATTGACAAAGTGTCCTTTTTATCCTGCAAATATTAGGATATGTATGGCTGGGCAATATATCAATGTCATATTGATATTGTGATATTTTTGGATATCGTAATAACTTAATATGGCATTGTCTTATTCTAAATTTCAAGGCTGGATTGCAGTAAAGTGATGTCATTTTCGCAACTTCCGTTTTGCCTTAAACCACTTATTACTAATACTAGTCACATCACTTATGAATATTTATTAAAAAAAGGCATTATGGTAATCATTTGAAAGCACCGATAATTAACCCTTAAATATTGTCGCAATTTTGATATAACTGTTTTGGTTTTATCATCTAGCGTGACACATGGGATCATATAGCTAATACACTCTATTGTATGCTGGTTAATGCACAATATTGTTGTTTTTGTAATTTGAATATAGTTTTCAGTGCATGAAAGTATTCATTAGAAATTGTAAATGAAACAGAGATGTGTATATATACTTGTCCAAGCTACTTTAGCAGTGTGTGTATAGCATTACAAATAATCCCATTTTTAGCATCAGATCTCAGATACGTCACTGGGATTCAGTTTATTATGAGAGCCAATTAACACTGCATGAAGGCAACTTATTGACCATCACAGCTCTTCATGGGGCATATCAAGTCACATCATCATAATCCACAGGGGAGGGGTGGGGGGGTGGGGGGGGGAACAATGTCCTCTCAGGAGAAAGGTCATATCTCGGAGGTGATTGCAGGTAGTCATTAAAGACCATGGGAGCGAGGGTCTCTGCCCCCTCATCAATAATCTGAGTTGATCCGTCACACACACACACACAGAGCTCCCTCTCACAGAAACCATGGTAACCTTTTTGTCGGTGGAATTGATTTGCTTTGCTCTGATTAAATGGTTAATCATTGTTTTCTCCTGTATAGGACAATGTGATACTGATGATAAAAAACACCTGAAGTGTTGAATAGTATTTACTTAATAAAACCAAAACGGGAAGTGTTTTTCTAGAATGACTGCTTTTACTTCAGGGTCATTTCCTTCAAAGAGGAACATGTGTATCCAAAAGTATCTAGTGCCAATATCTGATGTAAGCAGACCTTCTTGCATAATAAGGTTTTTTTTTTTCTTGCATAGTCCGAAAATATTCAAAACCCATGTCCAAATAAGAGATGGGATTAGCATTCCCTCGTGCTGGTTTTCCTTTTTTGTACATCTGATCTCTGTTATGCCATAAAACCATGCCAACAAATCTAATAGTATCATCAGTTTACCAAACCATCATAACTTCTACTTCCAGTCTGACGCTATGTTCAGAATGATGAAATGTGGGAAAGCTCTACAAACAAGCTTTAATGACCTTCAAATGCTGCACTGTTTGGATTAGTTGCAGGCAGGGAAATGTGATTGTGTCATGATTCAGAACTTCCATATTTAGAAACAAACTCGCTGGGAATGAGAGATATAAAAAGGTCAGACAGACCGTCTTACCTGGGTATGCCATCAGCTGACTGAGGCGCTGATAAACTGATCCGCAGCACACACAACAACAACGGTTCACTCCCGTTGAAAGGCCAAGTAGCTGAACTGAGTTTCTTTATGTTGACACACTGCAGTGCATACAATGGACACGTGCATTACAGGGACATTTTTATGGCAACTACTTTTTTGTATCCAGATTCTTTCATTTTTATTTAATCAATAGCCACGTCTGGGTTTTTGGAGCTCAGAGGAACATCTTCAAATTGCGTGTTTGTCCAGGCACCCGTCCAAACCCCCCCAAAATGCTCAATTTGAAGTGATGTAATAAAACAGAAAAAGGGAACTAGAACCATGTTATCTTTTGCACTTTTGCTTGTTAATCAATTATCAAAATGCGTCATCAAATTAAATAATGGACATCATAATGGTTTTAGCCCGGACAACATATTGATGTCATTTAAATACGTCTTTACTGTTTATCCAAAAGTATTTTTTCCTAAGGACATGCTAGACAGCTATAATGCCGGTAATACCAGTCAACCTTTAGATGTGTTGTTTTTCTTCCCAGTAAAACAGGTTATTTTTCAGATTACCTAGAATTCACGTCACAGAGCCTCACTATAACAATGTGATCAAAATGTGCGTGGTTGTCTCACACCCTGTCCCTTTCATGTGTTCACTGGAATCTGATGGATTAAAATCCTATTAATATCTAAACGAGGGAAACTGTTCTCTCAACACTGTGTGTGTAACCTGAGGGTTATCAGCACATCTTCCTTCAAGTGTTTTATCTAAAACTGTGCATTATGAAAAGGTCATAGGTCTCTTGTTCGAGTAACAGCAAAAGCGTGGCTGCTTAAATACGCAAAAAAGAACGAGACGAGCACACCTGCTTAATGTACCCGCCTGAGAGTGACCCAGAGGTGTGTTTCCTGTATTTGAAGAAGAAGCCAATTTAATATCTGCCTTAGTACGAAAGTGCAAAGCGGATGAGGACAGTAATTAGCCGGCTTGCTTGTGAAGTTATTAAAAGTTATTTCATCATTATGAGCAAAGTGTATAAGGGAATACTCTCTCCAAGGGTCGGCAGCCAGGTTGAAACCATGTTTTGGTTAGCTTGCATAAAGTTTTCATCTAATGAGCTCTGGTGCGCTCTGAAGATCTTCTGGAAAGTTGTACAAATTAATCTTACAAATATTCAACCTAATAGCTATGGGTAAACAAACACAGACTAAGTCCTAATTTTGGTTTTGTCAGCATTTATAGCTGTTCTGCATTAAGTAATGTGTCTTTAATTCATTCTAATTAAACAAGTGTATCCACAGAAATAATGAGTTGTATTTCTTCTTGTGTGTACGCAGTGGGAGCTGCTGTGGTCCATCATCCTCCTCTTCACCTTCTGTCTGCTGCTGGTCTGGTTCTACTTCTGGTGGGAAGCACATAACGACTACAATGAGTTTAACTGGTGAGTACACAGCGAGAGCCACACTCCCATCGGCATATTGTTTCCGCGGTAAATACATTATATCCCAGCTTTTCGGCTTGTTGATTTCCTAAATCGTCACTTTAATCTGCCTTAATCTGACCCAAAGACCACCCATCCTTTCCACAGATTACACCATTACATAATATGGCTTTCCCAACATTTACTATACTATAAATGACTTGGTCCCATGCCGCCTTTTGTGACCACATTTATATGTGAATGAAAAGATTTGAAGCCAACAACAAAGCCTTATTTCAAACCTGTAGGCGGAATGTGTCTGTTTACAATTGCATAAAACCATGCAAGCAATTTTCCTTAAAGCACCAGAGATTTTATGAATTGTATACAAGAATGTAAATGAGATACTTAAGGTACAAACTACACTGGACATAAGTGATCAAAACACCCTTCAAAACATTAACATTATGCCATTTATTCATGGTCAAAGATTCAGCACCCTTCAAGTTGTGAATCCGACAGACAAATTATTTTTGGATTAGCATTAAATCAAACATTTCTTGATTTGTGGTGTTATATTTCTGAAGTGATTTGTGTTCGGCATGTTCTTATACATGCTGTAGTATGAAATGGTTAAAATGGCTGTGTCCCAAAATATCACATCACATGCTCTGCTCCCCCTCCCCCTCTCCTCCTGCTCTCAGTAACCTCTACAATGTCACCTTTTCCTCTTATTATCCTCTGTCTCCTTCCATTAGCTCTTCTCACAGCCAGTGTACTCTGTGATTTCACAATGCCCCTGTACTTCTCTCATTCACCATTTTCTTACTTTTATTCAATTGAACCTCAGTCCTTCTATTAGCAATCTCCCCAGTGTATATGTATCTCTGGATGTCAGTTGCATGACATTTGCTTTTCCTTTCTAATAGGAAGTGTTCACATTTCCTGCTTTCTCCTTCCTGCTTGTTGTGGGATTTCCACAGATAATCACACAGCTGACATCCCTGCCCTTATGTGTTCTAGTGATTTAGCAGCAGGGAGCGTCCTGCTCCATCTGCAGTATCAATTTATTCACAAAGGGCTAGGAGCATCAGCGCTAAGTGACCCCGCTGTGGCTCTGTGCCACTAGAATCACTGATAACGCTTCGAAGTAATTAGTGCTAAAGGCACTGGCTGTCATGTCAAAGCCCACATGGGCACACACACTCACACACACTTGTCTTTGCTCTTCAGATGTGGATGTACAGATACTGTCAGCCTTTAGAGAAATACAGCTCAAAGCGACATTGGATAAACATTTTTACAACAATGTCTTCTGTCTGCAAAGAGAAGCTGACAGTCAGTGATTACTAGAACCCAGATAACCAGCCTGCACTTGTTTCCCATACTTAAGCTCCACATAAGACAGAAAACCAGCTGTCAGTAGTTTTCCTCCCATCCATTAATGATACAATCACATTATCTCGTTGGTCTGATTTCTCACCGTCGCCCCACACTAGCTGTCTGCGGTCTGTCACGGAGACGGCTCTTTTTGATGTATCTTTGTTACCTTTATTGCAACGATAAAGCTTGAGGCCGCTCTATAGGGGCCTGCATGAAAGTTAAAGGCCTTTTGAAACACCAACAGTCTTATATTCCCTTCCCTCACAAGCCTTTTATTTTGTTTGTGCCTTTTTTTTCTGGTCTTGCAGATCCATTGTAAACTGATAATGCTATAGACCCGGCAACTCATATTACACCGCTATCTATTGCTGACAGAAAGCCTGCAAATAGCAACCTCTTCACCCTGCCATTGTCGAAATAAATCAAAGTGTATATCTTTAAGCTAACTTAAAAGTCCCATGACATGGCCATTTCTACTGATCATAATTCCATTGTTGAGGTCTACTAGAATAGATTTACATTGTTCAATGTTCCAAAATCACATTGGTTTCTCATACAGCATCTCTGTATAGTATGTGTATTAGGGTGGTCCTTAGTGCCATGTGCATTTTCAAATTCATTTATTTTAAGCTCCAACCACCGGAATTTGTTATGATAGTCAAGAAAACTCTTCTGGTGAATTTTATTCAAATTCCAACAACATTTACCCCTCCCTCATCAACCTTGAAGTTTAGCCTTGGTAGGGTGGTCCTTAAAATTGAAAGTCGGAAAGTCTAAGCTCCAACCCCCAGAATTCATTCTATTAGTCAAGAAAACTCTCCTGGTGAATCTTTTCCTCAATCTGACAGCATGTACCCCCCCTCATCAACCTGGGCTGCCAGACCAGCAGCCACGGTGCTGCAACTGAGGCTAAACTTCAAGGTCGATGAGGGAGGGGTAAATGTTGTCAGATTGAGGAAAAAATGTACCAGGAGAGTTTTATTGAATAATAAAACTAATAGAATTAATTCTGGGGGTTGGAGCTTAGACTTTCCGACTTTCAATTTTAAGGACCACCCTAATGTGTATTCACTCTCTGTCCTAAACGGCTTGTTGGAGCTCCTGCCCCCCCCCCTTCCCTATGAGCCCACTGTGCTCTGATTGGTCAGCTCGCCCACTCTGTTCTGATGAGTCCACCACCGTTACAGCGGAACATCAGTGATTATGTGTTACCATGGCATTGGCAACTAGAAAATGACACCAGTAATGACAAACAGATGAGAATGCTGCGTGGGGTCTGGGTGCCGTGTTGCCGCGGGACGTTGCGGGGCTCGCTGCTGCGGACAGTGTGAGCTGGCTTACTGGTGTCGTTTCCTGGTTGCTGCGTGGGATCTGACTGCGAGACAGGTGAGACACCGCGAAACTCAGGCTGAGAAATCCGCGGAGCCGCAGCTGAGAAAAGATAAGGCTGAGTGAGTGTGTGTGTGTGAGGAGCTCCACGGATTGGTCCATTTGGACCTGGGCATGGTTACGTCACCATACTCGGGAAGAAAACATTTGGAAAAAGAAAAATCTCCAACGAGGCGTTATGGGGCAGCACAGACAGGTCTTTTCTGTGTTAGAGTTTTACTCGCTACAGGGTGTACTTTGAGGGTTTGTGACTTTGCAGACCGTTTACATGCAGAAAAAGCTACATAACACACAAGGGGGCGGGTAATAACTGGAAAAGCATGTCATGGGTCCTTTAAGGCATTGTTTTATTAAAAAAAGAGAAAATATAAAACAAAATGCTTGTTGCAGCTCAATCGCATCTATTCTTTAACCCTTCAATACCATTAGTAATAATGAAATGCAGGTGAGCTGATGTTATGAGATTTATTTTTCACATGTTTTTTTCTCCTCAGGTTCCTGTACAACCGCTCTGGGGAGTGGAGTGATGGCACTGTTCCCATCCTGGCCACCACTGCTGCTGGCTTCACCTACATTGCATTCTTAATGGTCAGTCCTACATCATATTCACTGTGGGGATGTTAAACAAGTCGTGTTCATCATATTGCCTCTGTAGTGATTGCTTGCGTTGTCAGGACTATGGTTATGTTGAACAATTTGCGATTTGTTAAGCAGCAGATCATTTAAAAAAAGTTCTAACTTGACATGCTTTTCTCTTTTTAGGTTCTAGCACTTTGCCACGTTGCACTTGGGCAACAGCTAAATTTGCACTGGCTCCATAAGGTAATGTGCCAAATGTGAGACGGAGCAACTGTGTTGGCGTGTGTGTTGTGACAAATGGGAAGTGGAAGGTGGTTGATGTTTTGCATTATGCATCTATTTTTGTCTGTGATGTGTATTTCTGTTTCTATCTGTCACCATTTGTACTGAGTCTAAAATGTTATATGCAAATCAAATGCATGGACCAAACACTGTTTTGGGTGTGAAAGGGCTGAGGGCCATTTGGAGGTTAATCTAGTGTGTGTGGGAGTGAACATGTATTTATCCAAAGTGACAGCCCCTCTGATTTTTTGTATCTCTTTCTCTCTCTCTCTGTCTCTACAGATAGGAGTGACTGCTGCTCTGCTCACCACCGTTATCGGGGTGATATCTGTCAATCAAACATGGGGGCAAGAGTGGGATGTCATCCCCATCTCGCTGCAGGTCAGCACACTGAAACACAGCGAAACCACAAAGCCATGTTTCACGGCTTTTACATCACTGATGATTGAACGTTCAAATACTTAACTGAGTGCGACACAAAGTCGAGGCAGTTTATTATTCCTACTTAACAACCTAGACTTTGACCATTGGTTTGTGATCAAATATTTGAACTGTAACCACTTTTACCTGGATGAGGAAGTGAGGGTTGAAAACATTTAGTTTCACATTTGTACCTTTTTTTTAGCCTGGTATCAATCTGATATTAATAAATAAGTATCTAAATCAATCAATCCTACCTTTTAATAGGTACATGAAGTTTTAACAGTAAATATCTATATATATTATTATTATTATTTTGTTGTTCTCTTACAAGAAAATCCTTGGTGCTGGTGAGAAAACAGTCAATCCACATTTATCCTCCTACAGGGTGTCCGCGGGGTCGTAAAAAGTATTAAAAGTTGATATATCAATTTAGCGAAAATGAAGGCTATTAAAAAGTATTAAATGGCATTTTCCAAGGTATTATATTTTGTAGCTTGTTTTCAATAAGTATATAAATTGTCCAAAGAGGTTGTATTCTAAAGTTTGAATGTAATCATTGCGTAGGTGTGTAGTGTGATTCTGTGTAGTTTATTTACGGCATCCCGTTGGATTTGACGTCATCTGAACAGGACTTCGCACGCTCACTGCTTGATAGCGCGCGAAGGTCCGTTTACGCCGGTTGTTAAACAACGTCGTTATGGGGAAATGCAAGTTTGCGTCCAAATGGTTGGAAGATAAGGAGGAAGGACAATCAATACTGTATATAGTAAATGTGAGGTAAAGTGTGTCGCCAATGTAACCGGTTAGAACTCGAAGTGGCGATGAGGTCTTAAAATGTATGGAAAGGGTCTTAAAAAAGGTCTTAAAAGGTATTACATTTGACTTCAGGATTCCTGCATATACCCTGTCCTAACAATTAACAGCTAAACGATTTTCGAGGAGTTGTGAGAAGCTTATAATTAGTGTGTCCCTGTGAGATTATTTCACCACCATGACTGTGTGATTGAAGTGGACGCGCTACTCCTCTGAAACTGATGCCATTGACATTGAAAGCCTCTACAAATTATAGTTATTATCTCCGAGTGATGTTAACAATGTCTTAACCCCAGATAATGTGTATAATTCAATGCCTCTCTGTCTTTTCCTTTTGTTTCTCTTCTCTTTTGCTGACTGTCTTCTCTGACTCTTGTTTCCCCTTTGTCTCCATTTCTCTATATCCTATTTCCTTCATCCTCCCTACTCTTCCTCACCTCTCTGTCCAGGCCACAGGTCCGTTCCTGCACATAGGGGCTCTGGCTGCGGTCACAGCGCTGTCGTGGATCGTGGCGGGACAGGTCGCCCGCTCAGAGAAAACAAGTATGTTTACTTCTGCAACAAAGAGTACAAGTTACTCTTACCCGCTGTGCCCTGTCTGCCACACACACATCAACACACAAACACACACACATGGTAGGAAGAGTGGTGAATGATTAACTCTATGTAGACAGAGGCCAGGACCTCCACCCAGGGTGTCGGAGATAACGAACATTCCTACGGGCTCATGTGATGTTTTCCAGTCGGTACACCTTGGATTGTTTCTCCTCGAGTCTTTTTGGGGATTAGGATCTCTTAGTGAGTGTTCTCACTCTCGCTGCCGTTGGTGTAGAATAGAATCGAAAGTCATTTATGTACCAGTTTTATTGTCTTCTGAACAAAGAGAGCCTTGTAGTAATATTGATTTAATGTGTGTAATCATTCATGTAAATCATAAAATGTCTTTTTTATGACTATGGACAACAGTTTGTGCTATGGGAAATATTAATGTTATAAAAGTCCTGGATATATTTTAGTTTCTGCTTTTGGAGAGACATGATGAGGTGGAAATGTCTAGGCCACACTTGAGCATCTTCCAAATACCAGAGAGGATGTGAGTGAGTGTGTCCGTGTGTGAGTCTCCTGTTCGTAACAAGAGTCAACCCCACCCTGACCTTGAAACGAATACATTCCCATGAGTGTGTGTGTGCGCTCCCACTTGCAGCCTTCATCTCTCACTTCCGTTGAGCTGAAAGCAGGGCAAATGTGTTCTCCTTGGCCCCTGATGGCAATGTTGTCATACACTGTACGTACCCATGCAAAATACTGATAATTAACTTCAAAATTCATCAACCTCTTACATCAAACATTCCTTTCTCGTGAAGTTCAGTGCTGTGGATTTAATAGTTAATCCAACTGTAGGATGTTTGCTACAAGAGACTACCTTGGCGTATGTACTGTATTAGTCACCCAGGTGAAGGTGCCAACATTGTTATTGTGCAAAAAAAAAATTATAACGCGCTATTTATTATAAAAAAGCAAACAAATAAAGACATAACTACCAGTATGAGGAATGTTTGTGAGTAATATCAGTAGTGTAGATGTGAATGTGAGAGCATTATGTAGTGCAAGGTGTACAAACCAAAGGAAACACCAAACAAAGGTCCGGAGATGCTCTCAGGAAGGAGATCAGGGAAAAAGAGTGAGAGCCACTCGGGATAGGAGCTTTTAATCTCCAGTAATGCGACAACCAGGTGCTCTCATCTGACACTCCCACGATCTGTGTTACATTCAGGGACAAACAATAATCAAGACTTTAGGAGATAGGCAGGAGCTGTCACAGTCACCATGGTCATTTTTTGCCAAAAACATGTCCCATTTTAATATGCAACTAAAGTGCAATATAGGTATGTCAGTGCTTTAATATTCTTGCAAACTTTCATCAAAACTACTTCAGGCTTTGTTGGTGTTTTGCTGAAGACAGGAGGAGCAGTGCGGAGTACAAGCTCTTGGGATTTATGGGACATTTTTTATTAGTGCGTTATGTACACTGTGTAATGTACACAGAGATGCGCGCAGACCCCTATAAACTGTGACACAGCAAAACAGGACGCCTTGGTACAGTCTCTATGTTCCTGTGAGCTTCTGCACCCACATGACATGAACGCTCTATCATCGCTAAGAGATGCAGCTATGTCATGGCAGGTGCATTGCTCAGGAACCAAAAAAGGGCAATGAAGAGTTGTTAAGAAGATTTAATGATTAGTTGTTTGAACAGATACATCAAACAAGTTAACGGTTCATTAGTGAGCATTAGATGGGCTGTTAGGCTGATTATTTTCCCTTGGACAGTGCTAGGCTAACTGTTTCCCCTGTCTGAAGTCCTAATGCTAAGCTAGCTGACTGCTGTCGTAGCTTCATATATACCTTACAGACATGAGGGTGGCTTTCGTGTCTGCAAATAAGCACACTTCCCAACCTTCAACGTTTGTTATCACACCATATATATCAGTCACAATTGTATTATGGTCTGTCTTCTCCCAGTGTTCCAGGTGGTAGTGGTGCTGCTGTATCTCAGTGTGCTGCTGGGTCTCTACGTGGTGCCGCTGTACATCTCCTCCCCCTGCATCATGGACCCCAGCACCCTCAAACAACGCCCCTGATGTCATTGGCCACCAAGGAGCCCCCATGGTGAGTCTGCTGACAACTACCATACATCTGAATGTGGTAATAAACCAGGCAACAATAAACAAATTGTATTTTCACATCTTTCACACTGCCAAAGATTGTGATTTGGAGAAGGCAGAAGGAAAACTGCAAACAGATATTTGTTCCTGTTGTTTTTTATTCATTTTTCTTCTTCTGCGATTCCCAGAGCTATTCTAGTCTATTAATGACCTTGGTGTAGTGCAACTGAAAATAGTCTACAAACATAACCCAGTGGGAGCTTTGCGCTCTCACTGTGTGATGTATGGGAGGGAAATATGTTCTACTGGATTTTTTTCTGCAGTTGTGTCTTGCAAAGACTTGGCAACTTGCTGTGAAAGAAAATCGATTTAGACATTACTAATAATCACGTTCACTGCCATCACTTCACATCATCTCTCTCACAGCTAACATTTTAGACTCAAATACAGTTTTAAAAAACTCTTATTACAGCCTGTTAGTTAAGTATGCATCAGAAGGCCATGTTCAAATCTGATTAATGCAAACATAAGCACGTTTTTGCTTTTTATATTTGATTTATGTGCTTGGATTCATGTATAGCTTGTAAATATTACCTGAAGAGTGATTGATGTTCTTGGCACAGCGTCTGACTCGGTGTTATGCAACACTTGGAAGGAAAATGAAGGAGGATTCCCAGTTATTCGTGACAGTTACTCGCGCGATCCAAAACACACCCTGCTGCTGTTTGTGGTATTTGTGTTGAGCGATCGATCCTTACAGCGGAATCTAAAATTGGGAGTGGTTCTGCGATGCTGTGAGAAATGTGGTCACATGACTGAAATCTGTTTACCAGAAGGACTCTGTATTGATTACGGCATTATTCCTCTCCTGTGTTTCCAAATCATTAGCTTTACTCACACGGTCTCATAGGAAAATGCTTTTCTAGTAAGTGATGTTAACCTAATGGTGTGATATGAATCATAGCCTTGACTTGAGTTAAAGATCCCATGTCATGGCCATTTCCACTGATCATAATTCCATTGTTGAGGTATACTAAAATAGATTTATACTGTGCAATTTTCCAAACTCACATTGGTTTCTCATACAGCATCTCTGTAAAGTATGTGTCTTCACCGGTATTCACTCTCTGCCCTAAACGGCTTGTTGGAGCTCCTGCCCCCCCTCCCTGTGAGCCCAGTGTGCTCTGATTGGTCGCGAAGCTGAGAGGCTCGTTGAGGCTCGCAGCTCCTCGCAGCTGTGTGAGCTGCTCGGCGATACAGGAGAACAAGCAAAACTCATCCTGAGCACACACAAACACTCACAGCCGAAGTAAAAACAATAAGTGTGGCTTGATATTGAGTAAGAAAAAGGTTTATAACGCTGTGAGAATGGGTCTGCGGAGAGCATTTCTCCGTGATCCCAACGTAGTAGTCCGAAAAACGTTTACCCATTTAAACAGTCGTGGTAGATACCTTGTTTGTTTTAAACATCATAAATACACAAACAACAATGAATACTTACAGGTTGTGTACCCGAATCTCCCGCTGGTCCAAACAAAGTAGGAACAGCATCGTTCTTCAGTGCCCTACGCTGTACATATCCGGCATGAATCGCTGAAAGGTTTGGGAAGCTTTGTTTCGTGAAAGGCTGGCAGAGGGTGTGGCTACTGGGTATCCCTACGTAGCGATACCCAGGAAGAAAACATTGGAAAATGAGAAATCTCCAACGAGGCATTTTGGGGTATTTTCTGTGTTAGAGTTTTACTCGCTACAGGGTGTACTTTGAGGGTTTGTGACTCTGCAGACCGTTTACATGCATAAAAACCTTCATAACACACAAGGGGACGGGTAATAACCGGAAAAGCATGATATGGGACCTTTAAAGAGCAATCCTCGTCTCTGCTCCATTTCATTTAACAAAATGTTCAAAAGGAAGGAGTCTATTTTCACATCTATGATGCACCACATTCATGTTTATTTTTGATGTTGTAACACAACTTAATTGATAATATGTATAATAATAATAATAATCAGCATTTTATGATTTATGATTTTCTTCAGCAGTGGTAGGGTTTTCAGTTTCTGATGAGGTCATTGTAAGAGGACTTCGTGTGTGTGTGTTTCTCCAGCTTGCTCCAGAGAACACAATGTGGTCTTTCCAGCGCGCTCTGCAGATGAACGTCACCGGGTTGGAGGCTGACGTGGCTATCAGGTACACACACACACGCCAGATAAATGGAGTTATTTAGTATCCCTACATTCTGCCTCGCTGTTTGGTTTATGGAAGCCAAGAGAGGCAAATAGGAACAACAAATCTAGTTTTAAAAGTCTGATCTTAATTATTGTTGATGTATGTATGAATTAAGAAAGGGATTTTGCAGGGATAATCCTTCCGGGTCGCTCTGGAAAAATGTGTCTTTAAAACAATAACAAAAAGGTTTTGGCAGGTGATTTCTTCTTTTTTCACGTGTTTGTTGTCGTGGTACTAACTTTGGTCACACGAAGCTAACCTGTCCCACTGCCCCATGTTTTAAATATGACTAAAAGCATTGATGTTTCTGTCACGTTGAGTTTTAATATCTCTATGTACTTTAAAGACAAGTTACACATATTCTGTGTTAGCAAATTGTGTTACTCTCTCGTCAGACAGAGTAAGGGTTCTGTATGGCCATGGTTAGTGATGGATAGTTCCTGTACATGTCTACTCATGCATGTGCAGTGATGGAAGATGACTGATTATATAAAAGTGTGGGGGGGGGGGTGTTGCCCTGTTGTGAGTTAGAGCTCCACGTTTTGTCATCTTTGATTCTGACTCTATTCCTGTATGAGAAACCGGTGTGTGTGTGTGTGTGTGTGTGGGTGGGTGTGTGGTTGTGTGTGTTCGCTCACTGTACAGTAGAGGTGACTGGGTGTGTGATTGGTGCAGGCCGCTGACAGGTGAGCTCCTGGCTGTGCTGAGTAATTAGACTTGATGACAGCCAGAGCGCCAGTGAGACTCCAGCAGATCACACACACACACACACACACACACACACACACACACACACACACACACACACACACACACACACACACACACACTTGTATCCACACAGGGAAGGCATTGTTTTTGTCTGCAAAGAATTTGATATGCAAATATTAAGTAATGGGAGGGCATTTTTATTTGCTCTTGTTATAAAAGAGAAGTCATTTGGTATTCAAATATTGATCAGCAGCTTTTTTTAAATAAAGACTCACAATACACTTTGGTCTTGTCTCTACTCCCTTTTCCTTTTTTTTATTTGACATTATTTCAAGACTTATCCGCTCTAACCAAGTCTTGTCTGTTCTGCTCTTATCTGAATAAATATGACATCCTTTTGAAAGCTATTATTCCTTTAAGCCTTCACTAGAGAGACAGTTAACTCTGCTGATCCTTTTGAGTCCTTTTTAAGCTTGCTCAGTTTGAATTATTATAAAAAGATGTGTGACCCTGTTCTTGTATTTGATGTCAGCGGGTTAAAAACAAATATCTAGATGTTGCCTTACCATAAAGTGCATCGCCTAACTCTGCTCCCACCTCTGATCATCAGTGTGGACGGAGTGCCTTTCCTGATGCACGACCTCACCCTGCGGAGGACCACAGACGTGGGGAAGGTTTTCCCCGACAGACACATGGAAGATGCCTCATCCTTCAACTGGACAGATCTGCGGCAGCTCAACGCCGGACAGTGGTTCCTCAAGGTAGTTTGTGGTTGCTGATGAAGCCATTTTAACTGTTCGACAGCATTGTGTGGTGTGGTGATGTGAGATAAAGGTCATTAGCCTATTGAATCATTAGTACGCCTATTTCATCTGAATTCTGGGATCCATTAATGCTTTTGAGAAGTTCTTCTGTTTGCAGAGGGTCAACTAGTGCTTCAAAATAATTGTTTGGTTTCAACCTGCTGAGGGCCAAACAGGATGAAAGCACGCTGACAAACAAGCCATAAGAAGTGTGCAGAAACTGTGTGGGACCCAATTATTCTTCCCTGCATACCATACTCTACAAGAAATGTAAAATTGACCTGCTTCTTTATTCTTGTTCAGCCATTTGCTGCAGATTGTGTAAATCCATGTTATTTCACATTCTGTCAGAAAGAGAATCAGTATAAACTTGACCAAGATGCAGTGATGTAGAAACATTGCTTTTCATGAACTGAGATACTCCTCGGCTGTGTTTTCTACAGCACCCTCCGGTCATGTATTTGATTTCTATTCAATTTAAATGCATGCACTCTAAATGTAGGTTCAAATTCATGTTATTTTGAAATGAAGTTTATATTTCATCATTCAGATTAGCGTGCAAAGACAGTTGGCTGTGATGCCTCTTCTACGTCAACATTTGTCTCAATCTAAATTGTTTTCCACACTCGCTCTCAGTCTCTCTACATTGCATGTGAGCTGGATTTCAAGAAAAAGCCTCAGCAGTTCTGTGCATAATCATGACAATTATCTGCCATAGTATGATGTCCACGTGTATATTTGTCCTGATCTGTATTAAAATGTTGAATGTTAAAATGACAGAGCAAAAAGGAAGGAAGTGAAGCACACTATGGAAGACCTATATAAGATGCATCTCGTCTTCTTCTCTTGTATCCTTTGACAGGGAGCAGTGAAGCAGGAAGGGATGTGAAGGAAACAAGGAATATATACACAATATATTCCACTAAATGTATCTGCTGTAGGCTTCCATACGCACTACTTATAAAGGATGGAAGCTTTGGTTTAGAGTAACTAGGATAAAGAAAGCAGGTTTACAGATTTTCAAAAAATGCAAATTAAATTACTTCATGTTATTATATACTATTTTGTTTATTTTTGTAACTGTAATAAAACTGACACCTGTGTTAAACATATCTGATCTTCGTCCTCATGCATCTCCCTCCCTGTGTTTCAGGATGACCCTTTCTGGACGGTGCACACCCTGTCGTCGAGTGAGAAGCGGCTGATAGCCAATCAGAGTGTGTGTAGCCTGGAGCAGCTTCTGCGGCTGGCTTCCTATCACAACAGCACGGTGGTTTTCCGGCTCAGGAGACCCCCTCCGGAGCACCCCTGCTACTACAGCTGGATCAATGATACACTGCAGGCTGTGCAGGAATCTGGGGTTCCTCAGAGCCTGGTGAGTAGGGACTGAAGGCTTAGATACACTCGATCCGCGTTGTGATGTTTCCATAGCAGTATGTCTAGATATCTATTTTGAGCAACTAGATGTGTGGATTTATTCTCCCATATTCCCAGACCCCACTCCCAGAGAATTTCCCAAGTAATCATTTTCCTGACCAGTATATTGTCGAAATCACTAGTTTCAAGGTTGTTTCAATGCAGAAGCATGCTCATATTGTAAAGAATGGTCCTTTTTATTGTGAAATACATGTTTAAATAGATAAAACAGCTTATGCTTTATGGCAGGGGTGGGGAACCTTTTTCCTCTCAAGGGCCATTTCAATTTTTACAACATCCTCCGAGGGCCGTACAAATTATTGACCTCTGCTTAAAAATACTAAAATCACAGCCCATTCATTTCGCCTTTCTTTCATGCTGTGCAAAGAAAAAGCAACCTCTTAATCCAGATATCTTACCATGACTCGTGTATGCATGCATGCGCACGGTTGTGGCATGACCACCAAAACAGAAAGATATGGACACAAGATGTGTGCAAATGTATTTAGTATCCTATCCATGTGGTCATGATTTCAGTAGGGGGGACCTAACCTCCTCTAGGGGGGTCGGGGGGGGGGGGGGCATGCTCCCCCGGGAAGATTTTATTTTAAATGTTGATGTTAAAAGCATCAATCTGGTGCACTTTGAGAGCAACATTAAGAGATCTATGGATACATCTCTCAAAACCCATATGAAACAGAACTGTAAGCAGATTTTATTTTTCTTTATCAATCAATCAATCAATCACATTTATTTATAAAGCACATTTAAAAACAACCCACGTTAACCAAAGTGCTTATGGATATTTTACAAATCACTCCCCTTTTAAACTGTATTCTTGTTTATTAATAACAACTTTATTTTACTGTCATAGTATTTTATACCTGTTTTTCATTTATTCTCTTATTTTTTTACAACTATAATGATCATATAAAGGTCAGCCTTTAACTCACTGAGCTGAGGTTATTTGAGCATCTCAGTCTGTCAGGAGAGAGAGCTCTCTTCCACCTGATTGCTCCTTATATTCGTTAGCATAGCTAGCTAACCAGATGCTAACAATCCCCGGTACCGCTCTCTCTCTCTCGCTCGCTCGCTCAAACAAAATGTGCTCGTGCCACACACACACACACACACACACACACACACACACACACACACACACACAGCCAAGCTTGAATGACACACAAAGATCTAGAAGTAGTTCCACTGTAATGTAGCATATTCTTTTCGATGGCCTTATTGTATGATCAGTATGACAGATGAACAGATGCCACTGGGCTTTCAACTAAGGACACAGCCACACAAAAACTGCGGCATGTGTACGGCTCGTTATGTGTACTACAATTTTTGAAGTGCCGGAGCGGCGTTCCGGTGCTCTCCGTCAGCACTCTACACCCCTATCAGACGAGACATATACCACGTGATGGCACGTTAGGCTCGTGTTGTGTTCAAGGAACCTGTCCTTGGCCAGGAAAAACAGGCACTCGATTGTTTAATTATTTTGCGGTCTAGATTTCTTTTTTAAAAAATGTTGCGTGTGTTTATAAATTACCTCGAGGGCCGTACCAAATGGTCTCGCGGACCGTATACGGCCCAGAGGCCCCACCCCTGCTTTATGGCAAGGCTACCTTGTGATTGACAGGTGGCTTCCACGACTACCTCCTGTCTTGGTGATTTCCTTTTACTATATATGTTCATTCAGACCATGCGTCATTAATGATGTGATAAATGACACAAAGTGTGATTGGGACCAGTGTAAGAACAGTTTGTGTTGTGCTGTGTGAAGGTGATGTGGACTCCAGATGAACACAGAGCTCAGGTGAGGCAGCTGGCCCCCGGTCTGATCCAGACCTCAGTGGAGAAACGGAGACTCAAGCGACTCAATCTGGACGGCATCAGCCGGCTGCTGCTCCGATACAACAAGGCCAGCACGCAGGAGATCGGGTAGGAACACACACATAAACCTGCTACTGTTATCAGGTGGGCACAGCTCCACACAGATTTTAATTAAAAGACGTGCCCTTATGGGATTCATGCGAGGGGGACCCAAGCTCCCATCAGCAAAACACGTGGGTTTGCTATCCTGGCTCCAAAATGGTGGAATGAGCTCCCAATTGACATCAGGACAGCAGAAAGCTTACACATGTTTTCTTCAAGTTTGTATCTTCTTGGTCGAATGCACTTATTGTAAGTCGCTTTGGATAAAAGCGTCAGCTAAATGAAATGTAATGTAATGTAATAATAAAATATGTATTTTTCTTCTTCCTTTCCTTCAGAAACTTCTCCCAGAGCAACATCAGCATCACGCTGTACACCATCAACGAGCCCTGGCTGTACTCGGTGCTCTGGTGCAGCGGGGTGTCCTCCGTCTCCTCCGAGGCCTCACATATCCTCAAAAAGGTGCCTTACCCCATCTGGCTCATGGTAAGGACACAGGACATGCTGTTTAGCTTCTTCTTTGACTTTTTCTTCTTGCTCTTTGTGTGTAAAGTGTGAGTTTCTCTGTGAGGCTTTCTTTTTTCCACCATAGTCTTTCTATTTGACCTTCCAGCCTGTAAAATATCTGCTTGGTAACAGGATTTCAAAGTGTAAAACCTCTCATAAACTGGCTATAGGTTGTATCATGTAGATGGTATTAGATGACAACCTGTCTCCTCTCCTTAAGCTTCCTCACCTCTGCATGACTAAACGAGATTTTAACAAATGATACCAACAAGGGTTCTTAGCTTTCAACCGAACTCCTTTATTTCCTGCAGCGAGCATAATATACTCTAAGTTTTAAACACTCATTCGAGGCCTCTGCACTGTAGAATGAAGTGCATTATCACTGTAGTGGACGCTGTAGTGCATGACTCATCTTTTCTAGTTCAATCCCCTTCTGAAAACCTGGGTAGCACCCACACTGTGCCGCTCTGCTATCGTTTCACCAGCCTGCTCTACCCGTCTGTAGCACCATATGGGGACCCTGCATGACAACATGTGGAAGTGACCCCGGCCCCCCCGCTGTGGTTCAGGAAGAGTTTAATCTGCTGGGCCATCTGCTGTCAACTGTGAAGTCAAGGGAAATCTGCCATTGCATGGTGTTAAAGTCAATGCTTGTTTTGCTATTAAAGCTCGGATCGTGTAGTTTTTCTTACTGACAAAAACATCTTTCTCGACCTTGTGCTTGATCTAGTCTGTTTATCATTATGTCTAAGTATTGCTCAAGGAGAAGTCTCGTTTTGAAATCTCCTAAGAGGTTTTTGACTCATCCACATCGTATAAATCAGCTAACATGGAAAGTCTTTTTGATAACGCAAAGCTGCTCCCCAAGTCTCACTGACTCAAAGTCACGTCTTATCGCGTGATTTCAGAATGAGATTACTCCCTGAGTGGGACACAATGCAAAACAGTACACATCAAGAGAAGGATATAGTGAATTCATTTATGTTATTTTCCATAGTGTTGGAATTTGTAATAACAATACAAGCCTAGTGGCAAAACAAGCAGCTTTAGTGGACGTACATTGACGGAAAAGCCTGTGTTCATACCGTTTAAGGGGGTAAAATGTCTGTATGCAGGTTTTCAACTTGTTATATTACATTACTGACCATTTTTGGGATTGTGTTCAAGTGCAATGCCTTCTGAATACACTTTGACATGAATGCACATCTTAAGGGACTGCATAATCCCCTGTTTCCCCAATTCAAATGTATTTTCTTTAATGTAGATTTATGAATCAAAGTGTGTTTATTCACAGTTTGAATGGGGCTGCTCACATAACAGATTGATTTGTTGACACAAGGCGCCACCCAGTGGTGGATTCTGCCATGAACGTGTGTGTGTGTGTGTGTGTGTGTGTTTCCAGAGACCAGATGAATACTGCCTGATGTGGGTGTCTGTGGACCTTATCTCCTTCGCTGTAGTCATAGGAATATTCATTTTCCAGAAGTAAGTACAGCCACTCAATGACCACACGGGTGCACAAAGAGGGAACTAAAGACTGCTCTTTGTGTGTGTATTCTGTCACTAAATACTGAATATTAACAAGCACTCTTCTCTTAAATCTCCCATGCAATGCAACACACTTTTTCTCAATCCATCTGACCTGAACACAAACTAACAGCTTGTACATAATTATGCTGTTCTCTTGTGTTTTGATCCCTTTAAAAAAAACAATACTTTGCCAATAATGACCGTACAGAGGAACCGCTGACTAAATGGCATTGTGTGGAGTGTCGTGTATAAACTGTAATGATGTATATTTGCTGTGTTCTCCTCCTGCACTTCTGCGTAATGAAGATGATCCTATGAGCATGTGTTTTCTAAGCTAAACGATGTGAACCCTACAGCAGCATTTGCTCTTTGCGTTGGAGAGAGACAGATGGCTTTCCTCCTGTTGCTTCCGAGATGAAGGGCAGAGATCTCTCCTTTTTGTTGTCTTTTTCACTACGACCCGGTGCTCTGCTCTTCTGTAGCTTCTGCTGGCTTTTAAACTGACCTCTCTTGTCTCCTGCCTTCTTTTGTCCTTTTTGCGTCCTTTCCGCCTCTTCCTCGTCCTCTTCCTCTGCCTGATGTGCATGCTCTCCTCCTCTGCTGCATTCTGGCCTCTTCTCTCAGCTATCACATGATCAGGTAACTGGGTCACCTCTCCTGACCCAAAGTCTTCTCTCCTTTCACACTCTTTCTGTCTTTTACCATCTTTATCCATCGTTCTTTTTTTTCTCGCATTTTTTTTGCCTTCTTTTTGACTTTTTTTTCCCATTTGTTCTCAGTTGTCTTGTCGTTCTCTCTGTTATGACATTAAACTTCATCAGATTTTTCTCTCTACCTTTCTTCCTATATTTATTTTCTCTGTCTCCATGTCACCTGAATCGTTGTACTGCACTGCTGCATCTTTCCTCTAGAGGAAGAAGCTCACATCCTTATCCCTACGGACTTAATAAAATGCTTTCCACCCACACAGCACAACACATCCGCAGCATTAAGTCTCCAATGAGATTTAAATGTATTCTCCATCTTATTAAGCCCAACGACTAAACGTCCAAATGAAGTACGATTGTGCATTCATTGATCAGGGGAAGTGCCTCAGAATTGACTTTTATCGATGCTGACCAGCTAAGAGCTTGCTCTTTTGCATTTTTTAAAGCCTCTCTGAGCATCACTTACAGTTGCTCTGAGCAATGCTTCAGAGTTATAAGTTATTTAATTGAAGTCAAAGTTGCTTTCACTGAAGCAAAGGCGCCGTTTTCACGTGCAGGAAATGAATCTCTTTGCTTTGACACACAAATAATGATTCAATAAATACAGACTGGAGCAAACGTTCCTGTATTTAATTGTATTGATTATTATTCATCCAGAAAGTACATTCAATAGATATATAGTAAATGCAGGGCACTATGAACAATGACTTTCAACTGAAAACATGTTATATCTTTTTTGAATCTCTGCAAAGTGTTATTTGCAGATCACACTGTTTTAAATAACAATCTATTTAACTAAATGGATTAGTTAAACAATACACACCTAATAAAGAGTGCCTTATTACAAAATGTTCCTCATTGTTTAGTGTTCATCTTAAGGCTCTGCACGACACACTAACAATGAGTTGGGCATGTAGCTCGTTTTTGAACTGTAGACGTTTTCCCTCTACGGACCAAAACTGTCCCTGAGCTACAAACTGCATTATTTAGGGATGTAATTGTTGACTCAAGGTAAGCCAAGTTTATTTATGTAGCACATTTAAACAACAAGGCAATTCAAAGTGCTTTAAAATAAAAACATTAAAAGCATCAAGACACAGTGCTAAACAAACCAACAATTACATTTGAGAACAATCATTAAAAAAAACAAGAGAATACAAATAAATAAAAAAAGCTAAAATAGAATAAGATATACAGGTTTAAAATGCAAGAAAAAGTCTCAGATATAACAGTTATTTAATTTAATAAAAGGCAACTGCAAAGAGGAAATTCTTCCTCCTTGATTTAAAAGGAGAGCAGCAGTCCTGCAGTTTTCTGTTAGCTCATCCAGATTTATGGAGCATAGCACCTGAGCGCTGCTTCTTGAGACGGCCTCTGACCCTAACCGTGCCCCCCCCCCCCCCTCCAGGTATCGAACCAGCGGCATGCGCAGCTACAACCCGGAGCAGATCATGCTGAGCGCGGCCGCCGTCCGGAGGTCCAGCCGAGACCTGAACGTGATGAAGGAGAAACTCATCTTCTCAGGTGAGAGCCTCGCAGCCAGAGGACGTGTTTACGCCCCGGATGTTTTGTACCGTGTTGTTGTTGTTTGTTGTGACTTTGAAATTCCTCTCTTGTCTGTTAACCTAAAGATGAGAAATCCTGAGTGTCATAAGCATGTCTCTGCATCCCAGCATGCATCTGTCTGTGAACGCTCCTCCTCTTCCTCTTCCTCTCCTGTTGAAGGTCACCCCCAGTAAGCGGCCTGTGTGATGTGCTCCACCTCCTCTCCATGTTTCCACCAGCAGGGACTACTTCCTTTTATTCCATTGCATCCCTCGTTACCTGACTCCTCTCCGCCTACACTCCCCCCCCCCCCCCCTTCATCAACAATCCATCCCTTCATGCACCAATCCTCCCCCACTGCCCCCCCCACTGGAGACTACGTCATGTGTAGGGGAGCTCATAGACGCCCCAGTCTGTCTAGACAGCCTCTAGAGCTGGGGGTCAAAGGTGAGTCATTTCAGTCCCACCTAATTCTCCCGCTCATGATTTTCATTCGACTTTCTACTCAATCGCTCCTTTTTCTTCTATTTTCACATCTTATTTGAGTGTAACTGCAGAAATGCGTTCATCATTGCCTACACGCGTCAGTTTTTTTCACAATCGGGTAGAAATACAAATGTTTCACTTAAATTCAAATCTTGATTAAATACGTTCTTATCCATTGAGATTACTGTACTTTTAAAATACTATAAGAAGGGAAAACGTGTTTTTCTTGCAAACTGATGTGGTTGTAAAGTTAGGCTGTCACAATATCAGATTTTCACTTCACGATTAGTTGCTATGATAATTCACAACTAAACTATAGTGATATTTATAGCATTTAAAAAAAAAATGCTATTAGCCAAAATCTTATTGGACTTTCTTTATTGTGCGTTGTTTTATTGAGATGCTGTCATGACATAACGTATATGCAAGTGGGATGTTGAATCAATGCACGCAAATTCATATGCTATTTCATCTTATAAATGACTTGTAGTCCATTAAAGACACGTGTTATGGGGCGGGCAGTACTACTGGTCGAATGTACATGTACCGGTACTATAAAAGAGAAACCGGGGCCATAGTGTGCAAAAAGTAATACACCTCAAGGATTGATTAATTTACATTTACCAACTCAAAGAAGGGCTGCACAATTTGGGAAATATAAATAATTGCGATTATTTTTGACTGATTGTTCAATTGTGATAAGATTTGAAATTTTAGTGGGAATTGCTCCTACTGCAATTTAAATATTGCACTAGTCCATATTGAGATTTTGATAACAATTCGAAAAATTCTGCAGCCGTAAAGGACCCAATACTTTGAACAGAGTTGCTCACAACTGCACACATCTAACAATTACATAATAAATTGTGAAAAGGCATGAAGAAATCCACAAGGCCTAATATTAGCTAACACAAACAAACCACATGTGTATTATTAGCATGATATCAATACTTGTTTTCTTTTTAAGTCCCCCCCCATTTTAAAGCCCTGCATGTCATTATCCAGTACACTGACTGTTTGTCTCACTCCTCTGGCGCCCTCCAGAGGTGGGGAATGGAGTCGGCAGTGCGGAGGAGCTGTACGAAGACAACGGCTACGACTACTAATAAAGCAACCAGGGCATCACAGTGACCGACCTGTGTGGACAGACCACTCATCATTCCTCTGACCTCCACCTCTGTCCTGCTGAGAAACTGACAGACTGCTGTATCTGATGGAGAGAAAAAAAACAACCACTCAGTTGTGTAAATTCTGTAAATAGTTTTGAGTTTGCTTGTCAGACATACTGTATATCACACGGGACTACACGCACTTTTTATTGACGGGAGTCGCCAAATCTGTGGCCCGGAGAGGCCCCTCTGAGTTACAATTAACGCCTGCTTCATTTAAATATGTTTCCAGATTGTTTATTTTAAGCTAATTTTCCAAAGCAGTTTCTTGTTTTTAACCACTGTTCTTCTCGCGGCAGATTTCTTAGCTTTTAACGAGGCTTGAACGCAGCATGAGACTCGCTAACGCTAACCGCTCCTCGCGCCTTCCATCAGCACTCCACTGTGCTGCTGTTCATTCATATTTATATTTAAAGAGAAAAACAAAAAAACACCAACAAGCTGTTTACAGAAGTCCTGCCTTCTCCTCCAGGTGAAATATTCACATGGTGTATGTAAGATAATTATTTTGAAAGAGCCTGAATGCCCCCCCTCGCCCCACCTTTGACCAGTGCATGTGACTAATAATCATATCAGCTGATGTATGTGTTGGGGGGGTGAAGATTTGTGCAGTCTTTATGGTTAATGTGAATGTGTTTGGACTTTTTTTTTTAAAGATGTGATTGTTGTATAGTGTGTATTCAGGCTGGGTATATATTTTTTACCCTGTGTGCAGTGCTATGTTGAGTGTGTTATTGTACATAAAAAGGTGAACCAGTGTGTGAGATGCTCCAGCCAACTAAGCATTATATTTCACAAATAATTATTGAACAATGTGACCGTGATGAACAAAAGCAATATCCGGGTCATGATGGAAGTCATGGCACTGCCTCCGAGTCGCAGGACAGTCTGCAGTGTGTTGTTGTTAGCTGCATGCATCCACGTGCTGGTTGGTGTCAAACGGACTGCTGAAGTGGGTGCTAAATGTGAAAATAAAGCTCTAAGCTATTTGAAGGGACGCTACAGGGATCACAACAGGCAGCACAGGGTCAAGGAAATGGATTGCCTTTTGTGTTTTCTTTATTTGGGTATTACTGTGCCTCAGAAGTAAACTATAAATAAAAAAAATCTAATAAAAGGAGATTTTAAATTGCATCTTGTTTTTTGTTTTTTTTTCAATGATGACATGCGAACAGGAGGAACTGGGGATTAAAGCAACAATCTGACGGTGTTTTTAATAAGTGAGTCGGTAATCCTGTCTTTTATTTTTAGACTTTAGACACATCCACTACATTTCAGCTGCGGTTCTCGACTCATTTTACTGGGAGGGGGCCGTGATGGGGCCAATCATTTAATGAGATGGGCACATTAAATGCATTTCTAGTCAAGCACATAAAATACCATTATTATAAACAGCGTTTGTGTCAATGACTGTTACAATTTATTTGAGTTACTTTGGCCCAAGATACAGAACATTAAAATAAGTTTGGCATAATAAATACAGTATTTATTATGCCAAACTTTGTGTTTATTTCATTTCTTAATATTTGTTTCAGTAACTTAATTTCCACTTATTAAATTACATTACTGAAAAAATCCCGTTGCCCAGGTTACAGCACAGTAAGTTAGTATTTTACATGAATTGCATTATCATAGATGTATTCTTTTGGAGGGGAGAACCGCCCATGCTACATTTTGAATCAAATCAAAAATAGTTTTACTGCCTTAAGTTCTCAAGAGCATCCTCTTTCCCAAACACCAAAAGGATAAAAAATGTGCGGATCAGGAGTGTGAAAAGCCCGGGAATATGAAATAAAAAAATAAAGAGACAAGTGAGTTAGCGAAGGGAAATCATTTTAATTGCGGCTTGTAAGTTCAAACTTCTTCGTCAATGTTGAGGTGGCTGGACTTCAGTGAGTATGACACGACCTATAAAAATAGATCTTAGTCACATAATTTCTCCCTCTTTCAAAAAGGGACTAATAATGATATGTACGGTATCAAAGGCAATCTGCTTCTTTAGTTAAAGGCTCCATTATATCAAGATCTTAGTTTCAACATGAGAAGTACGACAAATGAGAACAAAAGTCGATATAATAAATAAACTGATTCATGAATGAAATTAGGCAAAATGTAGTCTTAATACTTTTTTAAAGGAATGAAGGTAACTTGAGTTCTTGGTTGGAAATGGGAATATTGGACCATACTGGATTTTCAGTAACCAGCCTAAAATCCACCACAAAAAGAGCAAGATAATTTTCTTCAAAGTAAATTATTCAATACAATTCTGTCACAATTGAAGGCATTCATCAGGTCCATTTCCAAATCCACAAAGCACCGGTAAGCAAAGCGTTGGTCCTCCTGCAGGTCTATAGTCACCTTTCTCTACCTAAAGCAGAAAAAGCAGGCTGCAGTTTCTACTTCTCACATGCAGCACAAACATAAGTCCCTGCTACACAAATGGCTCACTATTGCACAAAAACAGTTAGTCAACAAGTGGAGGTGCAGCACTGAGCATGAGCGAGAGGTGGTGCTAGTGATGTGAGATGTTACAGTACTGTTTGAATAGTTAGGCTTTCTCTCAACATGCATCATTACCTATTAGCCGAGTCAACCACACCTACTCATTATCGAGGTGATTCGTCTGTAGGCAATGCTGTGAATCTGTTTGAAATTAATTATACATCTTAAAACTGTTACACCTCCACGCACCTCCAACAGTATAGCAGCTTTCTGAACAGGAACACACTGTGTCTCTACCTCTGACACACACCGCTTATGAATAAATAAATACATAATTAGCAGAAGATTTACTGGCTAGGTTGTAAGTCCTTGAAATGGTTGCTCCCTGAATTGAACACCATGAAAGTATCTACCATGAAGAAGCATCATTGACGCTGAGAAGTTTCTCCTTCACATTTTCAGTCATTATTTTCTTTCTGCGGAAGCTTTGTGCAAAATAAAATAATCTGTCCCTTAACAAAACAGGACTGTTCACTTCTGTAGATGCTATCAGTTAGAATCTGTCTAAGAGGAATGTTGTGAAATGTGGCACTTACACAAACAAGAATCATGAGTTAAAAACCTGAGTATCTTCCTGGTTCAGGTGACGGTGTGTTTTGTTGGCAGTTCCTCATACTTCAGCAGGTTTTAAATGACGCACATAATTAAAGCATGAAACAGCTATGAAGTCTTTGAGGCATCCCTTTGATCGTTTACATAAATAACTCTGATCAGCTGAAGTTGGTCTTGCGCAGGTGTCTGTTGGGGATTTCGATGGCGCTCACTTGCAGGGGCCAGGACCCCCCCATGATGCCGGCCTGGATGGCGACCCCTGTCACCACGGCCAGGTCGGGGTCTACCGACGTGTTGGGCTCCTTCCCGAAGAACTCGCTGATCAGCCTCCTGATCCGCGGGATCCGGGTGGAGCCGCCCACCAGAACGATCTCGTCCACTTCCTGTTTGTCCAGGCGGCCCTCGGCCAACACGGTCTCCAAGGGGACCAGGATCTTCTGGAAGAGGTCCTCGTTGAGCTCCTCGAACAGCTCCCGTGTGATCACGGTCTGGAAGAGAACCGGAGGAGGAGCGGAGCCTCCGGGGGACTCTGAGCTGTCGGGGGTGTGCAGGTGCAGGGGGACGCGGATGGAGGCGCTGGGGTTGAGGGTGAGGTTGAGCTTGGCGGCTTCCACGGCCTGACGGAGGCGGTGGATGTCCTCTTTCAGAGTGGGAGGGACGCCAAACTCCTGCTGGGCTCGCTCCATGGCGTACTGCAGCAACCTCTGGCTGAAGTCCTGACCTCCCAGCTTGTTGTTCCCTGCCAAGAAACACAGTTTAATCATGATAAGGTTATAACCAGGGGTGCACATAACTGGTACGCAGGTACGCATGCGCGGCAACAATCTGAAATGCGTAACGTCACTTGTGTCACAACGCGCCTTTGCGTACCTGATAGGTCATCAAAACAAAAACACATATTTCGTCTATACGTGTTTCTTGTCAACACTCAGTGGAGTAAATTATTAGACCTGTCCAAAAAAAACAAAGACATTAAGCAGCCACTTTGCCGTTTCGCTCCCTGCAAAAATCTTCGGACTTTCTATGACTGATTGAACTGGGTGCTGGCCGTGCCGCGCAGGGCATAACCGACGGACCTGTGAAGCTTCACAGGAGAAAGAGGCTTAGATCACTGGACGACAGAGTTGGTCGCCGTGTGCACAGACGGGGCTGCTGTTAACGTCGGTGTGTACAACAGAATTGTACCAAAACTACATCAACTGGCTGCAGTGGGAGACTCCCCTGTGCACATTCTGTGCCCCGCGCACACACTGGAGAACTGCGCAAAATCAGCTGATCACAACGTTCACGCTCTGTGGTCAAGCTGCTGCAGTTAAAACACACAGCTGCCTGCAAACTTACTCAGGCTGTTAATGGAAGAGTTTGAAATCAGACAGGGTTAGGTGGATGAAGTGTTACTCAAGTAAAATTAGAAAAGTATTATCATCAACACCTAGTTAAAGTAGCGACAGTAAAAGTAGTCATTTTGCAGATTGGTCCATTTCATAATAATGTATATGATATGTTTTATAATTATTGATCATTAAAGTGTTTAAAAATTAGTTTGAATGACTTTGTATAGGCTACTGCAGGGTAGCTTGTGAATTTACTCCAGGTGGAACTAAAGTCTGATTTAAGACTTGATTATATTTCACATCATTCATCCAGATCTGTGAAGTAACTAAAATGTATTAACTACATGTAGTGGAGGAAAAGTACATGATTTACCTCTGAACTGTAGTGGAGTAGAAGTACAAAGTAGCATAAATTGTACCTAAGTACAGTACTTGAATAAATGTACTTTGTTACTTCCCTCCTCTGAAATCAGATATGACTACAAGTCATGTGATCATTTCTTAGTATTTGATCCTTCAACTTGGCCTCAGGAAATGCAAGGACTTCACAGTTTTGGCAACAAGTTTTGGAGAAAGCAAATCGGAGGCTTAAAAGAGACAGGGAGGTGCATCTTCATCATCTAGCATGCAAGAAGTGTAAATAGAGGACAGTGAAGGAGACACTGAGGAGGACAGTGAGGAAGACTACACTTATTAAAACCACGCTTCATGTGGGGTGAGTACCAAACGCTGTCTCCTGGTACTCATCTGAGTAACTCACTAAAAAAGTTATGTGCACCCCTGGTTATAACAACACATTTAACTTATACTAGTTTTTTTGCGACGTTACAGAATATATAGATGCTACATTTTACCTGATTATTGTCTGAACGAATTCTAAACACCTAATCTATCTGTATGACAGACTGACTAACAGAACCAAGGTTTAACTTCCCAGATTATGTTTCAAAGTGTTAAGATCACAGACCTAGGGCTGGATGATATGGAGTATATCAATTATCACTATCATTTTGACCTAATACCTCGATTTTGTGACGATATGTTGGGTTGAGAATTGGTCATTTCATAGAAATATTAACACTGACATTTTTGACGAGTGATCATCAGTAAGGAGGGGATGTGGGTAAAAGACTAAAACATTTGAAAAATACATTAATTTAGCCTTTAAAACCGGGAAAATACAACATTGCCATATTACGATATCCAATATCTAAGTGAACTGTGTGAACTAATCTTATTCATGTTATACTGTGAATCCTGCACACCCCTCAGAATATTTTGCATATTTCTGTTCAACACTTCCTATTTTAAAAACTTGCAACTTTAAATTATTGTACTTGTCATATTTTTACTGTAGCCTACTTAGTTTTTTTTTCTTGGAGGTCTCTAGGCCGTCCTTTGGGGGTCTGTGAGCGGGCAAAGAGAGGGGATTTTCCCGTTGTCTCCCGTTAAAAAAAACTATTTTTAAATAGTTTTTGTAATAGCACAATTATTGCTCCTTTTCTATGACGTATTCCTCTTATGTATGCACCTTTCACACCAAAGCAAATATCTCGTTTGTGTGAAGCTAGTCAGCAATAAACCTGATTCTGCTTCAAGGACGTGTCTATCTAGTCTCATTTTACAATTCCCCTGCCTGACACAGAGGAAAATGATACTTAAATCCTTTAACTGGGACATGAACTGCGCAACAAAAGCTGAAGCTCCAATTTTCTGACAAAAGCGTGCTCATATCACCTCATATCTCGTATCAGTGAGAGTCCTTACCTGCCATGGCTCTGGTGAGGAACATGCCTCCCTGTTTGTTGAGCAGAGAAACGTCCAGGGTCCCCCCCCCCAGGTCGACCACCAGCACGTTGAACACATCCACCTTGTGCAGGCCGTACGCCATGGCCGCCGCTGTGGGCTCATTGATCACGCGCAGCACCTCCAGGCCTGAGGGACACGGGAAAACATGTAACGAATGTGGCGCATGTGTGTGGGGAAGAAAGGCTGTTATGGATCTTAAAGGTCTCCTATCATGCAAAATGCACTTTTTGATGTCTTTTATACATAAATATGTGTCCCCGGTGTGTCAGGGAACTCACAAAGTGTCAGAAAACAAAACCCTCTCTCTTTTCCTCTATACCCAAATCTCTAAAAACGGGGCTACAACGGAGCTGATCCAGATTCGCTGCCGATATGACGTAATATCGGAAATGTGGGCTGGCTTTACACCCACGGCCCTATCAGAAACGTCGCTATCAGAAACAATATGCGATGTGTTTTGGACGTAATATGGTCTTTGTTTACATTAGCAAGCATCGCTAACACTCAGAGCTAACCTGTACTGGAGAGAGTATGTGTAAAAAAGCTTTTTTATAAAAAAAAAGGAACTCACCTCACAAAAGAAGCATTTGAGCTTCATACTGTTACAGAAATAATCCTTGATGTGGTTTTGAACATGATATGGCGTTTCATCACGGCAGCATTTAGCTGAGTATCTCGTAGAATTCTCCTGCATAAGCTCCCCCTTTTCTTTTTTAAAGCTACGGACCCAGAATCAGCACTTTGGTAACAGGGCTGAAATAGAGGGGTATGAGGCATGGCTAGAATGGGTCATCTGTTTGGTATTTTGAGCAAAACACTTCATAGACATGTTTTTTTATATATTTGTATATATCTGAGACCTATAATATATGCCTAAAAATAGTATAATAGGAGACCTTTAATTAAAAAATATCCAAGTATAACAGTAGCTATATGTGTTTTAGATGCAGGTGCAGCTTTTTCAAATGACACATAAAGATATTAAACTATCAGCTTAAATAATAAGAGAACTGACCAGCGAGGTTAGCGGCCCTCACGGTGTAGTTCCTCTGTCTCTCGTCAAACTCCGCGGGCACCGAGATGACGGCCTTCTGGATGGGTACGTCCAGCTGTCGCTCGGCCATCTTCTTCATCTTCAGCAGCAGCCTGGAGCCGATGAACTCTGGACTCACAGTGAAGGTGTGGTTGGTGGAGATCACAAACTCTGCACTTCCGTTATTGTTTATCACCTGAAAGAGGCACAAACAAACAGAGTCAGTGATGATGAGAGAATAACAAAACTGAGAGTAAGGGGATATTTCAACATGATTTGGTAAATTAGCTAAGTACATTTACTCAAGCACTGTACTTAAGTGCAAGTTTGAGGTACTTGTAATTTACTTGAGCATTTCGATTTAATGCTACTTTGTACTTCTACTCCACTACATTCAAAAGGGAAATAATGTAATTTTCCTCCACAACATTCATTAAACAGCTAAAGCTACTTTTAACAAAATGCATCTCTAAAATGTATACTAGTGGACTAACTCTTTAAGTCATAAAATAGTAAAATAATTAAAATATTTGACAAAAAAGTCATTCAGAACTGTGTTTGTCTACAACAGTAAAATGCTACTCGATGCAACAATATTATTTAGAAATGTCACATATATAAATATAATTATACACACAAAGGCAATTTTTCTGCACAATGATTACTTTTACTTGTTATATTTTATATTGGTGATAATACTTTTACTTAAGTAAGATTTGGAATGCAGGACTTTTACTTTTTCAGAATATTTCTTCCACCACTGCTAATTTGCAATCACATGCAAAGTAGTTCCGGTCAGTCACTGGGAACTAACCCCATCACGACCCACCTTGAACGGGTACCGCGCGCTCTCCTGCTCCAGGACTTCCGGCTCAAATATCTTCCCTATGAACCTCTTTGCATCATAGATGGTGTTTTGAGGGTTGTTGTCGGCCAGCTCCACGGCTTCGTGTCCGGACAGCACCGCAGTGGTGGTGAAGGAGACGGAGCTGGGGATGCTCTTCCTTCCCTCTTCATCCGCGATCACCTCCACCTCCCCGCTGCCAGGATGGAAGACGCCGACCGAGCAGAAGGTGGTGCCCAGATCCAGGCCGATCACTCTGGGCTTGGGGGGCGGCAAGTACTGCTGACCCAGGTATCCTGCCAGGAAGAGGGCCAGGATAACCGAACCTAGACCGGGACAACAGGTGATGAGGACCAAGCAAGTTAGCTCATGTGTTAGCATACTGTCACCGGCTAATTACAGAGTGGAAATAACCGTTATTTAACTTACCAATCATAGAGATTTCTCCGGACATCGTTACAAACTGTTTCGAACTCACCAACCGCTTAAATATAACACAATGTCGGTCAAATGTTCCAAGTTTTGGTTAAATGATGTCCGGCTGTGACAGCTGTGTGATGCGAAATAGGAGTTTTTCAGATTAGCAACAAAATACACGTCAACATTGCATGGCGCCCTGTGGATGCTGGGTAATGTAGTCTGAGACTCACACCATAGACGCCACGAATATTATAGTTGATGTTGCCGTTATACTACACTTCCCATGAACTCTAGCGACATGCAACGTAATATGAAAGTTTCAGACGTTTCCGTGTTCCCAGCCAACCAGACAGAGCCAGGGCTATTCTCTTACATCCATGTTTGAGATGGAGTGAATTATTATTAATAATAATAATATGTTAGCAGTAGTAGTGTTATAATTTGTATTATTAATTCATATTATATTATTATTGTAACTGTTTTTATAATGAATCAAAAGGTTGACATAAAAAATATGACAACATGAAAAAAGAATATTCTAACTTCATAACATAAATAAAAATCACTTTTTATATATTTTTTTGTTAATTTTCTGAACAAATTGTCTTAATATTATATAATGGCATGTAAATGCATCAATAACTATTATCAGGCACTGAACTGGTACCTGAAATAAATCATTCTGAAAAATAATATTTTATTGCATTGCTTTTATTTTATTTACAAAAAGTTTTGAAAACATTTGAATGCTGACTTTAACATGAATTCATGCACAGGCACATCACACACACACACACACACACACACACACACACACACACACACACACACACACTAAGAAAAAATACATTTTCTCCTGTACAGTATACAATATAGGCAACATTTGAATATGCATTTTTCAAACCCAGACGCCACATTTCAAAAACATCCTTCACTTCATTAATGAGAAGAAAAAATATACCATGAGAAAGGGTGAAATGATACAGATGTGATAAATAAAGGCTTTTTATGGAAAACACACTGAATGATTTAGAATGCAATAAATACAAATGACATTAATTCAATAAAATGTCACTTTTTCAACAACATAAAATAAAGAAAACTCTTTATATCAAAACGTACAACTTGATTATTATTATTTTAGCGACAAATGGATAAAATGACTCTGAGTACAGGTTGTTTGTTCAATTACACTCTTAAAACGCTTCTACATTAGGCAAGCATGTGCTCAGAATGTTGTAATAAGGGATATTAACTTGACATTTTGATAATTTTCGAAGCCATCACCCTTAAGAAAATACTTTAATCCCAATAGTCATCGTATCCATCTGAGGAGTATTCTCACTAAGAGTCCACAGCCTCTGTGAGCCTCTCTGTACATTCAGATGGAATAAAGCAACCCGAGTCTCTGGGACAGTCGCTGTCTTCTTCCTGCTGACTGTGGGAGGATCTCTGCTCCTCCGTTTCCTTAACTTCGTCACCTGCGGTCGAAAACAAGTTAAATGGAATTTAATCAAATGTCATAATAGTAAACGTTTCTGTCTTCAACCGCATTAAAGGAAATTAAATCATTTCCAAGTGCTCTAGTCAGCGGAAATTAACCCACATTTAAAGGCTGAGTCTTTTTTTAACGATCTATTTCTGTGATAGCAATACTTTATTTTTAACATTAAAGGTTATAATTGCTACATTTCCCAGGAAACAATGAGAATGTGTTGCTGGCTGGCTTTGATTGGCTTAATAACTAAATGCTGAAGTTACTTCTGCAAATGTCACTCTGATATTAATCGGAACAAAAACAAAATACTTTTTTATCCCAGGGAGAATTTGCATTTTTAAACATTTATAGTTACTCCATTTTAGAATAACATTTAAAACTTAGAAATTCAAAAAATAGAATTTAAAATGTGTATAAACATGAGATGTTTAAGTAAGAATGTGCAATACAAATATAAAATAAAGATATTTATAAACAAAGACACCCCAAAATGTAATGTCTTCTTAGACTTTTATTCCCCACTCTCAGAGATTAGTCAAATAAATGTTAGACTACTTAGATATATGCAATGTGCAATATGAAAGAAATCTCGTCCATCAGTTTGGACACTTTGATACATCCAACACCTCATCAAAGCTTAATCCAGGTGAGGCGGTGGCCGTGCTGCATTATTCACTCACACAGAGTACAAATATTCTGCCATTCTTTAATATTTCTACTCCACTGATGGAAGCTGCTAATCCTCCTGTCCAGGTTGCTAAACCACTAGCCTAATGGAGTTCAGCTTGATTAAATTGAGTCAATAAGCCTGGCAGAGGCACGCCATCTGTTTACTCGCGCTGTCAACCAGACAACAAATACAATGGCTTTTAATTTGCCTCGTCTACAACTGCAGTTTAACAACAGCCTGAACAAAACTTGCAAGAGGATGTTGTTCCTCTTCATGCGGGAAAGTCGTTTTTTTTTATTCACACAGCGATAATCAGCCTTCTGCTTCGAGACATCAGATTGGAACACCTCAAGCACTTTCTCTCTGAGTGACAGGAAACCAGTGATAAGCCTCTCAGAGCACACAGGATGTATTTCTCTTCTGTCTGGCACCCATGCCTCTGTTTTCACATTTTAAAAAACACTTTTTTATTTCCTGGCAGAATAATAGCTTACAACCAAGTTGTTGAAAAGCACTGAGTTACACCTGCCTGGTTTTATATTTATGTTAAACTTTAAGGTTATACTATTTAAATGTTTTAGGAACAGGCTGTTCTTATTTAGATGTTTATCATGGTCTCTGTTGCTGTTTGAATGCTACTAAAGTCACTAAAGATTTTTGTAAAATTACTGTTAGCCATGTTGAATGCTAATTTCTGATTGGCTGATTGAATATTGGCAGCTTGGTCAAGATGTTGGTCCTAGGTTTGTTTTTGCAATTTGATTGACTGGTGAGCCTTAGGTTTAAAGGAGCCTTTGGGTATGCTAATTTGGTTAGCATTTATTTGCTAATTACAGCTTTGTCCATTTGCTATTTGAAAGTTTGTTGTTTGTTTTGTGAAAAAGCTGTATTGATAGGCACTTGACCTCAACATTTGGTTTTTAACTTTCGCCCTTCACCTCCTTTGCCTCGTCGATAACCAGGGCTCTTTTGCTGAGAAGGGTTTCCACAGCTAACAATTTCCAGTGTTCTGCTATCTGGAAATGTTACTTTATGCTGTATTGTCGAGTTGTACGTAATTTTGTTGACTTGTAAGTCTTTTTGTGGAGGTGCCTCTAAGCAAAATACTCTCTTGTAGGAAGGGATCATGTTTATGTCTAAGTCCTTTATTGTGAAAGACACATTGCAATGCAGAGGCAGACATAATTTCAAAGTAAGAGCAAGGCTTAGGGAACCAAACCTTTGGTGTCATTATTCAAAGGTCATTACATTACCACATATGGATGTGAGGGTCTAAGGACAGAGGGTGTCGTTTTCTCATACTGATATTCTGCACAAACTGTGCTGTTGTATTTGCTGTAAAGTGTCTTTACTGTAGGGTATTTTTATTATATTTACAGCACTTTGGCTCAACCAAAAATCGTTTAAAAATGTGCTATATAAATAAAACTTGATTTGATTTGATATGATAAGTTGAAACAAATATGTAATTTATTACCAACTCAATAGAAGTGATAGTCATTGCATGGTAGCCTATGTTACTGACCTGTGTAGCAGCACTCAGCAGCTGCGAGAATCTTGCGTCTGTCCTCGGGGTCGTGGACGTTCAGCTCTATCAGGTGTTTCTCCTGCAGGTGCAGAAGGTCCTCCACTGTCTGGTAGCCATTCAGCAGCAAGGCAGAGGCGTACTCCTGCAACAACAGCGGCGTCTTCATTACCATCAAACCACAGAGTGTACATGAGCTCAGAAAAAAAGTGTTTTCACAGTCACCTTTCATCTCTTGAGTCTCTGAAGTTTCACGAGTGGAACAACGTGTTCACAAAGTGATGGTACAGGTTTCGAGAGAGAATTGATAATGCCAGGTGTTTAACCTTTATACATCGTTGAGGTTGAGGTTGAGATAGCAATGGTTAACTTGCTGAACTCTACCACAAGATTTATTTTTTCTTTATCACTTACTTCCTGCTCAGAAGGGCTTACTCTAATAAATGCTTTTATTTTATGCATGTAATGATCTGTAAACCCTCTCACTTGTAAACACATAAAAACATGTTTCCTCACCTCCAGATTCAGTCGCTCCAGTAACTCGAGCAATGTTTTAGGCCGAGGTCTTTTGCTCAGCTTCTGTTGTCTGATCTTGGGAGCTTCCTCTTCTTCTTCCTCTTTCTCCACCAACATGTCTACGTAGATGAACTTGAAGTTGCCCACTTTGTTGTTAAGCATGCCGGTCCAGATGCCCATCGGAGGCTTACTGATGATGTTGATTATGTCTCCGACCTAGGACAAAATAACAGTGAATGTGAAGATTAAAGATTATGTTTACCTTGTAAAATAATAATTTAGATCAGAGCTGTGTTGTTACTGAACATTAAAACACTGTGTATTTTACTTAAGTGCTATCCAAGTGGTTTAATGTTCAAAAAGGTCTTTATTTTTCTCATACTGCCTGTGCTGCAGCAGCTCTTTTCACCCTCTGTCTGAAACCAGAGCCTATACTCTGCTCTCATTAGTTAGCTGGATGGCTCTGTTATGATTGGTCAACCGCTAAAAGATGTCCCGCCCCTAGCCTATAACATACAATGTGTTGGAGTGCTAGCCAATAGAAGTGCAAGTGTAACATAGTGATGTCATTATGTTGCAGACGTAAACAAAGGAGTCCAATTAGAAGCATTTCAGGCTGTGTGTGGGAGAGAAACTCCCTCTGGAGGGAACTTTGGGATTTTAGCCTTTGCAGACCATTTACATGCACCTATATAACACATTACAGGAAGGGTAAAACCCCTCATAGCATAATGGGGCCTCTTTAAGTGCTTCCGCCACTTCTGCTGTGTTGTATCTTACCTTGAGTTTGAGGGAGTCTGTGTCGTACGGGCTGGGAACAAAGTCTGTGTGGACCCGAGCTCTGCCGCTGAACTGTCCCTGATACGATCCGTCCTCCTCCAGCCTCAGACTGTCTCTCTGACCAGAACCGTTGGACTCACTGGTCACACCACCTGAACACACACACAGTCATGCTTATCTAATCATTGTACCTGTTTATTCATAGATACACAAATCCCCTGACCTTGAAAGGTTTTGTTTTGTTTAATTAGTTATATAACTCCACATATTTGTTCACTATGTTGGCTAAAACTACCCAGCACTCTGTGGCCCATACATTGCAGTGCAGGTACTTACTGGAGGAGCTCTGGCCACTGTAAAGACTCTCTAAGGAGTTGCTTGTCTTTGCTGGGTTGTTCTCAGCTGGAGGGCAGC